GGTCAACAGGTTAAAAAAGAAAATGCTTCGGGGCTCCTGGATCCACGGGTACTCGAATACCCAATTTAGATACTGGTAACTTAAATATTGGCGTACTCGAATTCAAGATCGAATGTTCGAGTACTTATGTTTGTGTACCCGAATACTCAGATTCAATGCTCGTGTAGGTGTTTTCGATTAAATATGGTCCTCGGTTCGCGTCGATTATAAAAGACGATTATTGTTATTACTTCATACTTTTGGCAGCGTTTAATCGTCCCGTGTACCAAGACAGCTTGTACGTACAACGAAGAGTTGCGTCGGTGTTAATTAACAAACCGAGCGTTCTTTACGCTAGAGCGTTGTGGACACACACGTATACATCTTGTAATTAAATCATGCGCCATTGATAGAAAACAGATGCAGTTCCGAAAGCAAGCGGAAGAAGGCGACGTCAGCCCGTTAACCAGGGGAGGACGAGTTAACTCGTCGCCTCTGCTCTAGGCTACATCTTCTCGTGTTTATCTTTGTATGAATTATGGATTTCGTCTGCGTTACAATATCCGTGTTAATCGAGACAGTATTACGACAGTTTTCGGGTCCATTTACGCAATGAATTTTTCTTTATTCTTTTCGTCCCTTCGAGGCCTTTTCATTTCGCTCGATTGAGCTACAATTTAAATTAATTGAATCGCTAGATAATGATTGGGTCGAAATGGACTCGGCCACTGTCATCGAGGGTTGATTAGCTAAGGACATAACGCGGTCAATGAACGTAAACCGATCGAATCTGTCTGACGAATTGCACGATTCGATGTCTTGCGGGTGAGGATGATGATGGAGATGAGAAATGAGATTGGACATGATGGGAGAAACGTTTTCGAGAGTGTTAGAGCGTGCGCCATTTACGAGGAGAGCACACCAAGTGCCTAAATATGCTCGCATAATTTTTTTGAAATCAGTTTACTGATCAATCATGTTCAGGCATTTTTCATTTGTCAGAAAAGGCTTTGAGATTCGTTTTGAAGTTTTCTTCCACTTTATGAGGAGATTAGAAAGATGCAAGTGGATCGAGAAAAACCCTAGAGATCAGATACACACACTTTAATGCACTCTTCTCGTTGAAGAAATAAAAGCAAATCGACCGATCCGCAACCCCTTTGAACCCAAGAGGGTGCAGGATCGTCGAAGATGAGAGTCCTAGGAGAGAAGATACATTTTATTGACAAAGATAAAAGATATTTCGGTTGTGGGTTGTATCAGTTTTAATGTCTATGATGAATTAAAAACGATTATAATGTAGTCTGTTACGAGAGAAATAATACTGACGATATTATACATGATTTCGTTTTCCCTTCATTATTTTTGTTTTCATCGAATTCTAATCATCAACGCGCGTGGGAAAAAATAAATTAATAGAGTTGAAGTACAATATCGCATATGTATGTGTGTATGTATACGTGTACGTTTCTCTGTGTGCATGAGAATGTTTAGGTACGTTTGATTGCGTGTACGTGTGTATGTGCGTGTGTGTATGTGTGTGTGTGTGTGTGAGAGAGAGAGAGACATTGATCGACGAAAAATTGGAATATGTAATAATTGACGGTCGTACGTCGGCCGCGGGCTAAATAATTCACCAATTAGACGTCTCGCGTTAATTATTCGTCCTTGTTTCAATCCCGGGTCTTGTTTTACATCTATGAATAAAAATTGGGGAACGAGCAAAACACGTAAGTATACCACAAATACCCATTAAATATTATACACACTAATTGTCGCTATAAATGTCGTCTCGCGTACAAAGGATCGTTATTACTTTGCAAAAATTAATTAATAGTAAGTTCTCCGCTGGCGGGGGTGTCGAGGATCGTTACCATCGTGAAAGAGAGAGAGAGAGAGAGAGAGAGAGAGAGAGAGAGAGAAAGAAAGATAGTCACGCTATGATTAAAAAGATTGACACGTTCGTTCGATACGCTTCAAATTTTCGAGCTTGCAGATTAAAAAATGATTCCAAACTGCCTGGTTTCGAGACAGGGCAATTAATTAGTCCTCAGACAATTACGCAATTCACTGATTTTTCAGAAATTACAACATTTCTCTACTGATTCCAATGGAACAGTTACTAATTTCAATCAATTGCCAGAAGCTGAGTATTGAAATGTCGATTTTTAATACTGGGTCAAGATAGACCCCGCTAAGGGTAAACGTATGCGTATCGAACGACGCGGTGGTTCGTGGTGTTCGAGGAAGAAACAGAGTGATCTATTTAAATGAATCGATCGGACACACATACGCATGAGGATCAACGACGCTCTGTGATTGCGAACCATCTACTCCGATGAGAGAAAGAAAACAGAGTAACGTGAATATCCGTCGACGCTTTCGGCAACAATGATACTAATTAATAATGATGATGATGATAGTATTAATAGTAATAAGGGGGCTGGTGACAAAGTATGGAAGTTTGTGTTTCTAATTAAAGAAGAGAAACATGTGATGTTTATTGCTACATATAAGCAGGACAATGCACAATACATACAGTGACTTACATATTCGTTCACATTAAGCTCTTACATTTATTTATCTGAATTGTATATAAAAGTTAAAGTTTCATAATGAAGTCATAAGAAAGTTAAAAAAAATATCGAAATTAAAGAAAACAGATATGAAAAAGTAGATAAATCGTAAAACGTTTTTGTAATCATTTTACATATTTCAAAGATACTAAATGAATGTGTGAGCCACTGTACCAAGAAATGACAATACTCAAACAGGATTAATTACGTGGGAAATATTTTCTAGACTCGTTAAGTTAGCTTACTTAGATCAGGCATGGATAACAAAATAATGCTTTGACATGAACATTTTTTAAATAATTTCCAAGCCTGATTTTAATGGTCATTAGTTGCTGACATCACTTGCTAATTAAAGACTGAAGAAAGCCACAAAAGAATCAGAATTGTATGCCAAGGTCAAGGCGCCTTCAGAATAGGTAATATCAAGGGTGAAGAGGCTCATGAGATGATGAATAGAACTATAAATAAATATAAGTCCAGTATTAAAACGAAATAATAAGAACAGACCCTGTAAAAATATTGCAGAGCCTCCGAGTCGGAAAGTATGATCTGCCAAAGCTCGAAAGTAGGCAAAGATTAATATATCAGAAAGAGACAATAGCAATAAATGAGAATCATAGAAATAATCAAATTAAAAAACAACTACANGAAAGAAAGATAGTCACGCTATGATTAAAAAGATTGACACGTTCGTTCGATACGCTTCAAATTTTCGAGCTTGCAGATTAAAAAATGATTCCAAACTGCCTGGTTTCGAGACAGGGCAATTAATTAGTCCTCAGACAATTACGCAATTCACTGATTTTTCAGAAATTACAACATTTCTCTACTGATTCCAATGGAACAGTTACTAATTTCAATCAATTGCCAGAAGCTGAGTATTGAAATGTCGATTTTTAATACTGGGTCAAGATAGACCCCGCTAAGGGTAAACGTATGCGTATCGAACGACGCGGTGGTTCGTGGTGTTCGAGGAAGAAACAGAGTGATCTATTTAAATGAATCGATCGGACACACATACGCATGAGGATCAACGACGCTCTGTGATTGCGAACCATCTACTCCGATGAGAGAAAGAAAACAGAGTAACGTGAATATCCGTCGACGCTTTCGGCAACAATGATACTAATTAATAATGATGATGATGATAGTATTAATAGTAATAAGGGGGCTGGTGACAAAGTATGGAAGTTTGTGTTTCTAATTAAAGAAGAGAAACATGTGATGTTTATTGCTACATATAAGCAGGACAATGCACAATACATACAGTGACTTACATATTCGTTCACATTAAGCTCTTACATTTATTTATCTGAATTGTATATAAAAGTTAAAGTTTCATAATGAAGTCATAAGAAAGTTAAAAAAAATATCGAAATTAAAGAAAACAGATATGAAAAAGTAGATAAATCGTAAAACGTTTTTGTAATCATTTTACATATTTCAAAGATACTAAATGAATGTGTGAGCCACTGTACCAAGAAATGACAATACTCAAACAGGATTAATTACGTGGGAAATATTTTCTAGACTCGTTAAGTTAGCTTACTTAGATCAGGCATGGATAACAAAATAATGCTTTGACATGAACATTTTTTAAATAATTTCCAAGCCTGATTTTAATGGTCATTAGTTGCTGACATCACTTGCTAATTAAAGACTGAAGAAAGCCACAAAAGAATCAGAATTGTATGCCAAGGTCAAGGCGCCTTCAGAATAGGTAATATCAAGGGTGAAGAGGCTCATGAGATGATGAATAGAACTATAAATAAATATAAGTCCAGTATTAAAACGAAATAATAAGAACAGACCCTGTAAAAATATTGCAGAGCCTCCGAGTCGGAAAGTATGATCTGCCAAAGCTCGAAAGTAGGCAAAGATTAATATATCAGAAAGAGACAATAGCAATAAATGAGAATCATAGAAATAATCAAATTAAAAAACAACTACATAGCTGAAGAGAAAAGAACATTCGAAAAAAATACAACAACCATCGACAGCACCACAAGACAGCAGAGGAAACAGCTTTAAACCCGCAAAACATAATCCACAGACACAAAAACAATAGAAACAGACAATTTTTTACAGCAATAAGAGAGCATGTGACTCGATAAAAAGATCCTGTCACATGATCATCAAACCACAAGTGTGTGAAGTGAAAAATAATAATAGAAAACAATAAATATGTACATCATTTAGAAAGTAGATTGCTTATAAACTGTAAGAAAAGATCTATCCAAATCCTTATATGTATATAAACGTGATACGTACAGGCTCAACAAAAAAGAAAATAGTGAATCAAACTGATGGAATTGATTTAAGCAACAAAGTAAAATGAATATATGTATAAGAAAAGAACGAAATACAATAGAGGGAAGAGAGTTTTGCCTATCTTCTACCGATCACAAGAGCTACGATATTGCACTAAACGGTTTTCTCTCTCTCTTTTATGTTTCTTTGAACGCTGTGAACAGTGTCGTGTCGGCCTGAAGGTTTCCACGCATACGCTTATCAATAAACTGCGGATTTTATGCATTAACTGCATCTAATTCTTAAAATCGCCAACAATTTATAATCATTTAAATAACAGAATGTCCGCATACACAGTAACTCTACATCTGTTCACATACTTTTCAAATAAAAACTCAGTATACAAATTTTTGTCAAACACCTATACATTTATTTTCGTCGCTTCCCACTTTGACATCCCTTTGTGGTGCATTTTACATTAATCCTAACACAAAATTTGAAATTTTATATACAATTCTTGATCAAATAAATGTAACATGTCTCTGTGAACAAATCTGAGTCACTGTGTTTTCTCGTTCCTTCAGTGTTTAAATTTGTTGAGAAGAAACGAAAAATCGTTCTATTTTACATTTATTTCTCGCAATCGATGCAGGATAATTTCAGGTTCGCATAAAGATCCGCAGTCTACCGATAAAGAAAAGAATATGATCGTGACAATATCGGCGAATAGAATCTTCTAAGGAGAACAACTACAGGAGATGAGAAGGTAAAGAGTGTGTGGCTATGGTCATCGACAGAACAACCAGGGGGCCATCTGTAATAAATTACACCAAGGTACGTTTATTCCGTTTTTCTTCATTTAAATACGATTGTTAAAGTCGTGTCGCTAAACGTTCATCGTTTTTTCATTTCATTATCATTATACTCTTTTTTTTCTCCGTTAGCCACGCGTCAAGCGAGCTCTTCTTTTCTATGATGTTGTGACTGCTGGTTGTTAATCAACGGTCATTAAATTCGCCTATTTTATTTCTTTCCCTTCGAAAATCGATGGAGCAAGTAAGTAATACGCGCGCATTGGCAAAGAAGAAAATGGTATTGTTTTTTTGTTTTCGATTGGCGTTATTTAAGAGCTTCGCGACTCAGCGTTATTAATCCATTTTTTTGTTCATTTTCCAGTTTTCTTTTTCGATTCCAATATCTACAAATCCATTTTTGTATTTTTTTTTGCTTGTTTCTTTAACTTCGAAGAGAATAACTCGATGATCACACGCTTCGCATATTATTATTATTATTATATATATGTATGTACGTATATATATGCACGTATATATACTATTATTTCTGAGTCCTGTTCATTTCACATTCTTTTTTTTTTCGTTCTGATCGAATCGTTTTTCCTCCCCTATTTATTAGCTTTTTTTTGTCGTTTTCTTTTTGTTGGAAGGTAAGATGATGTATTCTTTCGATTGTTGGCGATCAATTATATAGTAGCGATAATAATAATAATAATAGTTAATAATAATAAGAGATAATAATAATAATAATTCTTCATAATAAATGTAAAAGCTGGTACACAGAGATAACAAGCGACTCACTGGTGCCGCAGACAAAAAGACGTACAAAAACGTGACACATGCACAATACTAGAGAAAAACTTCGACAACACAAATTCACCAGACTAAATTCATATTTTTTCTTTCTAGTTTTCATTTTTTTGAATTGCACCGATGTTCATACAGCGGCGTGCACGCGTGCGGGCGTCGCGTACTCGCCCGTGTGTGTACGTGTGTGTGTATATGTAGGTATCTGCTGGCCCGATATGATTATAAATCATATATATCACACATATATATGATTTCTGTGTGTATGTATGTATGTATATGAATATTCAATTATCTAAAAACATTCTAAAACATTCTTGCTTCGATTCAAGTCTGTCGGCAAACCACTCGATTGGCTGCGAACAAAAGAAATCATAAACTAATTGCCCCGGCTCCTCCTCTCTCTCTGTTGGACATTTTGATTGTAAAACAGTCCTGCCCTCTTCATCCTCCTTCTCTTCCTTATTTCTCCTCCTCTTCTTTATTTGTTTGCGCGAGGGTTTGACACACAGACTAACAAGACGTTTGTGGCATTGGATGGAGAGAGAACTCAATTAGCAGTGAACTGAAACCGCCTGGCTCAGTAATTATAAATAGTAAAACCCTATTCCAAATTATAGGTAGTGGTAGCCTGAACAGCGTAGTTTCCCATCTCAGAGCTTTTGCATCCGGTAGTTTTTGTTGTTGTCGTCATCGTCGTTATGATCGTCGCTTTCCTCCTCTGTGGACGCGGTGTCTAGCCACGTTAACCAATTGTTCACCTACACCATTCAATCGTCTCTAATTAATCGTCTACTATAGCTTTCATATATTGTCGATGGAACAGTGTAGTGACCTTTTAATTGTTCATCGTCTTATCATTTTTAGTGATACCATTAAATTCAATTTTTTGTGTAACCTTGGAATAACCTTGAACTATGGAGATTGTACTGAAGTAACGAGAATTTTTATTGGAATTTAATTAAGCGATCGAAATGATAACACAACAATCTTGCACAGCGTTAAAACATACATAGCAGCAGAAATTAATTTGTAATATGAATAATAAATAAATCGAACTGTTGTAATTAGTGAAACAGTCAGTTCAGACTCGTAGAATATTAGAAGAAAAAGTTTATGGGCAAGCCTTGAACACTGAATATTCAGAAGTTCAGAGTCACTTTAAAATCACTATACTTGTTCCATCCACACCTTATGTAATAGCTACACTGTGGATTTTATGAATTAATTAACCCCTTGTCTTATAGCGTCAGACACGCGACGAAGATAACAAATTGAACCTGATAAATATGTATGTGCCTCATGCCATAAGTAATGCGAATTTCCTGTTCTACTTTTGCATTACTTATGGGATCTCCTAGTACTATTCTGTAGTTATAAATATTGAACTTTCACAGTAAACATGCATTCGACGACAAACGTAACATTTTTCTGCTAGGATATTATCACCATTGAAATAAAATTTATGAGCGTAGTCATGATGCAGAACATAAAACAATTAAATCAGTAAATAAAAAGAAAAGTTTGCCTTTCACGATTATACTAATTTTGATTGTTAAGCAAGGTAGCTTTGACATAGTTTTTAATTACCTCGAACAGTGCTTTCCCTTTCCCCGGATAAGCGTCGGTGACACACTCCTTCCACTTGAAGTAGGCATCCTCCTCGATCACTTCTAGCCGGTAAAGCCCATCGAACCATCGTAGTAGCATCCCTTTTGGAAAATTGTGCGAGAACCAAAATGTTTGAAGCGCATGGAGAGCTGTCATTTGAGACTCTATATCGACAAAGAGCGAGCGCATCAGGCGTGCGTATTTTTCCAGTAATGCCTTTTCCTTATCTATCGCTGCTTTGCCTACGTTAGATGGATCAACGCCAGGTGCCAATATTGTTTCCTGTTGTTATAAATAAAAAAAGAACACGCCAGTTATTCAAATGAATCAACAAACAAGATCAAGCAACAAGAAATTTATAGAAACATTTGTGTGGGTTTGCACCCCTATATTGCTATAGACTTTTAGTTCAAGCATGCTACTTTCAAAAAACCAAAAAAAAAAAATTATATTTATAGGATGTTATATAAACTAAAACACAGAATGACACTTAAAACAATATCCACAAATAGTACATTGTAGGTAGATGCTGAAAGAGCAACTGTTTTTTCCAACTGGGATCACATATTTTTCAATATATTAATCGATTAAAAATATTTGATACTGTTCCAAAAAATACAATTGATCTTTAATTTTCCTTTTTAGCACATATAGATTGATTTAAATGCGACACCCTATGATGACCGATATCGGCAAGTAAGAAACATGACAAAAAAATTTTGTCATACCAGATACTAACCTGCGTAATGTACTTGAGAAGAACGTTCATTAGAGCGTTAATGAATTCGGAATCGGTGTGATGCGAGGGTTCTAGCTTCTCCTTGATCCATTTGTAAAGAGTATTCGGGTTCGGATCGTTTTCCAGTTGGCGCCAGATGTCTCCTTGGATCTTAAGGAGCGGATAAAGGAAGGTCAACTCTCGGTCCTCGAGGATCTCTGCCAGCCTCTCCTTTGTCTTATCCGCCTCCGGTAGCTGGCTGATCAGATTCACTTTGCTCTCGTTGAAGATCTGCGTGAGCCTCGCTTTACCCTGGCTCTTATGCAACTGTTGAAGAGTAAGTAAAAACAACGGGTGGTGCTGGCCGTTCTCGGTGACGGCGACCAGGTCAGACAACTGGATTAGATTATCGACGATAGCCTTGGCTGTTAGGTAGGCTACGTGAGACGCTACACAAGGCACGGTACTCTCTTTTTCTGGTATATTCGACACTAACTCTTTCCAGCCCTCGTGTATCTGCTGCGCGGTCACCGCTTCCGCTTTCTCCAGCTCGACCACGAACTTGGCAGCGAGCTCGCGTTCAGTGTCACCACGGTCCAGCGTATTCGAATGCAAAGTGTACACAGCATGACGCAACAATCGTTCTGGTATCTTAAGATCTTGGAAAGTCGTGACCACATCCTGTATGTTTCCGTGTGTCGCAAGATCGTCCATCAACGCGTTCACCTTCTTCAATATCTCCTCCCTAGAAATTCCTTTATCCTTTCTGTCCCTGGCTTTCTCCCGTTTGTCCACTGGACCTTGCTTGATCACGATCGCTGGCGGCAATTCCTTGTGCAATAGTGGCGAGTTGGGCTTCAGTGGGTTAGTACGTAACAGAGGCAATTCTGATGCTCTTCCTGGGAACAGATCTATAGTTTCATTAGTAAGAGATCGTTTGCTGGATTTCCAACTAATTCGCATGATATTTAAATACTACGGATCTGGTCGAGCTTTCGTTCGTACTTCTGTTCAACCAAATTATGCCTTTACACGACTACTATTATCAACTGTATTTATCGGTGAAACACTTACCACTGTTCAGAGGTAGATTAGGATTGATGTTGGTTTGTTTGAACATCATAGAATTAGCTGATGGTCTAAGTGACACCTCTTCTGGATGTCCGATCAACATCTTGTTCTTGTTGAAGCGTAATTGTTCTTTATTGCTGTCTGCAATTCATTAAAATACATTAGTAAATCTACAGGGTGCCTCCGTAAAGAAGATTATCATTGATTGTTGTATAAAAGCCTGTGGGAAAACGAAGAAGGTGCTTACTGTTGTTAAAGTTTTGCTGCGAGTTGTGTTGCTGTTGATTATGTTTCCCTTGATAGTTATTCTGGTGACGATTCTGGTTCTGATAGTAACCCGGCTGGTTACGTTGATTGTGACGACCATAAGCGACCCCGGAACTTCCTGAGAATCCGTTCGGGCTGAATGGAGATGACATGCCAAACGACGGTGAAGTCAGCGGAATACTTCCCATCATGTCCATGTCTAATCCGCCGCGTCCCATCTTTCTTAAGAACTCCGGTCCGAGGCGATCCTCTCGTCTATGGAAGCCATTACCTCTCAAAAACTCATCATTATCACTGCGGATCTGATTGATAGGCATTGGACCTTCGGTGCTAGTTGCCTTGCGTGGTACCCATCCATCGCGGCGTAGTTCAATGACATCACGCAGCATAAACTTGATGCGTAGAGGAAGATCGCTGCTCTCTGCCAGTGACTTCATACGTCGAAAATATTGATCCATGAGTCCGCGACCTTTATCCGAGTCAAGGATACGGCCGCAGGTACGCATGATCTGGCAGAGACACTCGATATCCTCGGCGGTGTCCCCCCGGGATCCCCCTCGTCTTTTCTTCTCGAGTAATTGCTGGATGCAGCGATGTAATATCGGTTCCGACACGATCCCAAGCTTACCAAGTTCTCCGATGAATTTAATGTTGCCGAGCATCTTTCGCTTGGCCACCTGTCGGCGTTCCTCTTCCTCCGGGGCGAGTTCATCCTGGCTCTCGAATGCTTCGCTAGCTTTCGAACGATTCTCAAATTCGTCTCTGCACTTGTTAAGGAGTAGAAACGTGAACGTGCTTTGGCCTTTTTGACTTTCGATAAGAGCTTTTCGAGGTTCAAAGTTTGCAGCTTCGTCTGACAGCCGTTTGCACAGCTGTGCGTACATAGAACTGTACTTAGGTTCATCAAGCGCTTTTTCAAAGATCTGCAACACAAATACTAATTGTAAATAGTGCTTCTACTTTCAATTGTATTCCTATTTCTTAAACAGCTACCACAGTATGCGTAGCCCAAGGCAGCATAAAAATTAGGAATATTAAGAAGACACAACTAAGAACTTACCAAGAAAATAACACCTTTAAGAATCAGATCAGAATTGAGCTCAACGTTGAGCAGGTCGTTGCTCAGCTTTGCGAACTTTTCCGGCGTAAGCTTATTAAGAATACCCCGAACCTTTCTAAAGATGAGATCATTTCTGCTTTCTTGGGTACGTGCATCGCGTCTAACAGTTGAAGGAGGGATCCAGCGTTGCTCAGTGGATAGGGAGCGAATATCGTCCCTGGAAGGCATCGAATACTTTAATTTCAATTGATGTTATGTAAAAAGTGTAACACGGTGGACTTGTTTTTTGTGGGACGTAAAAAGAAGCAGCTCGTGTATAAATTGTTTACAGTCAAGGTTATTATTTGACCCTGACCTTCCTCCCGAGACACGAGAAGCACCCCCCTGTCCTGTGGGGTTGTCCGTTGTTGCGCGTGTTTCGGCCCCCTGAGTGATAAATCACAGCACACAGATCTTCCTTTAGGAAGCTGAAACAAAGAGAAGATCATAATGAAAATACTTGACAACTTGCTGGTAATTGACTGCTTACACGCATGCTACTTCGTCCACATTTCATTATTTAATACTCAGCCTTCGCATTTGATGATACAGAAATATAATGTATTAATAATTATTCAGATCGAGTTCCCCTTTTCCAAGTATTATACTGTACTGTTTTCTGCAAGGCTTGATAACATTATTCTGTTGTATGCCTTCCTTCCTGCCAATACACTCAACATTAACAATCCAGTTTCATGAATCAGAATGGTTCAGTTATTATCTTGAATTTAAACTATCCCATCATATGCTACTACGATTCACCTGTGCAAAAGGTTTACTTGAAAAACAGATTGTATGAATTGCAAAACATGTATTTCTGCATCTTTAATAACCAGTATCGCGTGAAATCTTGCTCGTGTTACACTTATACATCGAATATATAAAAACTCATGCAAATAACAAAATACATATTTATTTCCAAGGATTGTGTAACTAGTACAAGATATTCATGTATTCTATTAATTCTTAATGTTACAATATATGTAAACAATGTATAAATACTTTCACGGTATCATCATGCAAAACAAAAACACCAGCCAGCATTCATTCGAACAACAAAAAAGGCAACAAGTTTTATCACTGTGAGAACAGTGCTAGCAATCGTATCAACATCCAAAATTTTATTTGGCTTCTCATTAAGTAAACATAATAATATTGTTACCTCTGGTAGAAAATATTTAATCACATGGTACAAAAAAGGAAAAATTCAGATTGATTCTTTTCACAATCGATACACAAACTTCCATAATTTCCTAAGAAGAGATAAAAACATTTGTTTTTCATTAATATTTTATTTGAAGATCATTGATTTAGACATGGATATATTATTTCCCATGATCAAGATGAGATACAAACAATAAAATTGACAATTTTGATTGAACACTTTCTGTCAGGGGTAGTACATGGCATAGTGAATGCGAACAGAAACGATCAATTCCTGTTTCGGTATATATATAGAAATTCTAATTCCAGCACCAGGAGGCACTGATTAACGTGTGCGGGCTTATCGCGCTCACAGGTGAAGGTCTTCAACGGGGCTCAGGACGAGGACCTTCTCCAAAGAAACGGCTTTGATCTTGAGGTATCGGTTACGAGCAACAAAACAACCGAAAGCCGTGGACGATGAACGTGGAGAGGAGCGTATGTGGGGCGCGGCTCATGGTCAGACGGTCAATGAACCTTTCGTCGTCTCACCTCGACCGATCTCGGCTTCTATCGTCGGACTGATCGGGCGAGGTCGGGTAACTTCGGTCGCGATTCGACTAAGGTCGTCTTTGACCGCCTCTGCTGTGCGTTCCCCTACCACTTCGTGCGCTTAGGATTACAGACCCTGGGAAAGCTTTCGGGTACGTTTTCAACCACCACGATTTAGGAACGGTCCGAAAAATGTTTATCTTAAAGACACCAACTTCTTGAAAATTTTGAACAATCTAACTCTACCGATGAAAAATAATAATGAATCGTAGAAATATAAAATACTTAGGAACTTCAATTGCAGAAGAAGTCGACGTATACGTTTCTTAAACGAACGGATTAGAAATAAAAAATTGTTTTATCGCGTATCATGTATGCAATAATTTACGATTGGCATTATCTACGCACGTATGCGCTCGATCTGCATAAATAACGAATTGTATCATATTAAATAAATGCATCAACAAAAAGCTCTCGGCTTGATCGGAGAACAAAAGAGCTGCGGAAAGTGAATTGTTATCCTTGGCAACGGTAGCAGAATGCAAACTACTTAAGCGAGCATGCAAGTGTTGAATGTCAATAGAGAGCCTAATTTATTTTCAATTATTTCGAACTGAGCGCGGGAGATTCGAAAATGCGGTTTAATCCTCTAACCACGGAAGGGTGTTTGATTTTTCACGGTCCAGCTTTATTTGTTATGCAGATACGTTCGAAGGAATCTTTAGATTTAAAAGGATATAAAAAGTATATAAAAAGTGAAACAAAAGAAAACAATAAAAATTTTAATCTAGTTTTTTTTTGTTAAATTGTATAAAATATTTAGAACGTGAATTCCATGTTGCCCGCGGTTGGAGGGTTAATATGTAACTAACAACGGGTCGTAACTTACAAAATTTGGTATGGATCGGTTGTTCTTGAATTTTTTTTACGTTTGCATCAACGTGCGCAGTGAAAGACAAGGCCTACCCCCAACGGACAAGGCGGAAGCTAAATTTACAAGCTGAACGGACACACGAGGCGATTCGTGCGTCTCGAGTCACGTTGCTCTAAGGTTGCACGAGCGAAGGTCGTCGTCAGAAACACACTTCGACATTGAAAATGTTGCTCCGGTGCATTAAACCGGTATTCGGTATCTCGTTTCCTTTTAAATTTACATTACCTTCGCCGGAGGATGCTCGGGACGAAGGCCTCCCCGAAGATTCGCGCTCTCTGCTAGTTGAATTACCAAAATAACGATCGAAATCGCCCTGTCTGCCTAATTTTATCTGCTGAGAATTTCTTCAATTTATGTTTCCATCGAACGTTTCAATCGGATACATACAACAAAACCGACGCGTGTAAATATTTTCGTGATGTTGCCGCCTATCTTTCACGGTCAACGTCAAATTCGTCGTTTCGGATAACTGCGATAATTCCTTGCTTTATTTTCGGGGAAGAACGTTAATAATACCACTGGCAATTTGTACAGATAAAAATTCGTACCGCGACCCGATAACATGTCCCGCGATTTAGATTATGGAACTTTGGAATTCTGGAATCGCGACACCGGAAATGCAACATTCCATGGAAACAGTTATAACAGTTTTGTTGGTCTGGTTTTCTCGCCTATGGGAATCTAGGTATTCTATGGTTACGCGAGCCTAGTGCCGCAAGCTAGAGATGTTTCTATGTACAAAATGTATTAATGAATCTAAGTTACGTATCGTTAGTTAATGAATTAGTCAGCGAGTTAGAGTTACAATTCCGAAAAAAGATCATCACACTATTAACAAGTTGAATACTCCAGTTCAGAACAATCATCAACGAAACGTTTGGCCATAACCTTCAAACTACACAAGATACCGTGAAAAAATTTAAATTGGCAAACGGTTTTTAAATCTTATGTATTCTAAAACTTTTCAAGCAAGCGAATCTTTTACTTTCTGCTAACTCTAAATGTTCAAGAAAGTTCTATAATAGGGCAAAAATCTTTATAATAATCAATTTCAAGATTATTTTTTCACCACCAATATTGGGGAGGAGGGTTTTTTTGATAAAGTTTGATGGTAAAATAAATACGGACTACTTTAGTGTGCAAACATTCATGATTTACTCGTCGTTAATTTTTCTGCGAGTGAATCACGATATGGAAACGCGTGACGACAGCGAACAAAGAGATAGCAACGAAGTGACGTAAAGCGAATTGTCGTTATCCTTCCTCGAGCAACTTCAAACGCTCCATGTTACACTCTGTGTCCCCGTGACACGTCACGGATGCGCCGTGACGGTTGCTCTCTACGAGTTAGAACAAGGCTGCCAACTTCCGAAGGCCGATAACACTCGAGACCAGCGGATACTCTCAACTAAACTGCGGATGCTCATACGAATTTACATATTTTCAATTTGAATTCATAATATACAGAATCTTACCCGCACGAATAATTTTCCAATCACAAGAAAAAGCTACTAAATTCTTAGACTACTCAATTCTACTCTGTTTTTTTTCGAAAGGAAAAACCCCCGAGGATCGTCGGTGGTCGTATTAGCCGTCCATTTCACTTTAAACACTAATATGTTCATATAATTATGAACAGTAGATGAATCTCAAGATTCTTTTTAAGAAAAGTACCAGGAAAGTATCATAAGCAAGTAAACATCCGCAGATCATAAACAACAGATACTAGGCTACAGATCTATACACTAAACGAAAACGTACTACGGCACAAACCAGAACCACAGACATAGGCCACGGTACAAGCTATTACCAAATAAAGGAAGTGATTATGTATACGTGGGCACTTGCAAACAGGAGAACACGTATTTGTGGAAGTCGATTTTTTCTTTACGCAATTTTATATGCCACCGATATTTCTTCACGTTCAAGATGCTATTCGAACAACAGGCTCATTGTCATGCAACTAACGCTCTTTGTGTTGCCGTATATGAATCGTCTTTATTCGTACGATGCATTTACGTTGCGACGTATAGTCTCCAGCAGCGAATATTAATGGTGGGGATAATTTAGGTTTCGTCCATCGAGAATGTAACTAGAGCAGATCGTTTTTCGCGACTAGTGAAAATGGTTTTTGTACCCAATTCGAGAATGATATTAATCACGATAGTTATAGTGAAAGTACTTCGTATATGGCAGTGCTGAGTAAAATATTAATTCGAACACAGAATAAAATTTATGAAATTTTATCGTCCATATAAAATAGGGAAGTCCGCAATGGAACATCTTGTGACTGAATTTTGGCCAGCTCGGACAAGAGAATAGTCCCTGAAATTTGTTACAGAATTTCGTTGGGGGTCCGATGGCGATCCGGATTATTCGAGCGTGTCACAATTCTGTAGCAAGGTGTAAAACCAGCCCCCAACAAAGTGGACAGCTGAAAGGAAATCAGTACGTCTATTCATAGCCCGATAAGCGTTCAAGTCTGCCCCTGTGACAAAGAGGCCGCGTACGGCCGTCACACTTTCGATGTAGGAACAGTCATATGGCCGAGCATTTAAAGGCGCAACCGAGCGAATGCGCTCACCGACGCGACCGGCTGTGCGCGTGTCTGTGACCCGACCATTAAACGTTTCGAGGCTGTAATCGTTAGAAGACACGGGGCCCGTTGATACAGAAACTAGATCAACTTACGAGAAAAGTCATCCAAGCCTAAAATTATAATTTCAATGAAACGCGGCGCGTATGTAGAGCGTAATGAACAACTTTTTCATAAAGATTTACAGCCTCTTCTTCTGTCTTTGAACATCATTTAATCGCGAAGAAATTGCATATATCAATCAGTTAAAAAACATGATTTTCGGTTCAGAATGCCAACGAGAAATCAAAGTTATTGACTGAAACGATACAACGCGTCGTTTGCGTACACGACACAAGAAAACCGCCATTTTCCCCCGCTCATCCTTGACCGTTAATTATTGTAATCCACGTATTTGAAACTGTTTTCATCCCGCAAACATAAACGAAGCTTCTTTGCGGTTTCTTTTAGATAATATAAATCCCCGAAAGAAAAATAATCGAATGCACGGAGGATAGGCCAGCTGCACAAACACTGCTATGCAAGTTCTCGGTTTATCTGCGCTAAGCAGAAATTCGAGGTTGAACAATTTTCGCTGAACAAGCATTAGCAGAAACTAAAATAAGGCGGCGAGTAGAAAAAGTGGCTGTAGAATTTCGAGAAAAAAATTTATACGTTCAATGTGGTCGTAGAAAAAAAGTTGATCGCATAGTGTGCCACTAGGTCCGCCGAATAGGAATATCGATTGGACAGGGACGAGTGCCGACCAGAAAATTTTCGTAGAAACGTCGGAAGCATGACAATAAACGGCTGGCCTGGGCTTCGTGCACAGTTGGGTTTGTCGTGTGCGTGTACATCGATCGACAGAGACACACAACATACGCATGCTGCATACGTGTGTTTACAAGTGGGAGGCTGTCGAACATCCGTGGTCAAATGGAATCGAGAAATCGGTGGATAGAAACAGAGAAGGAGCACTGCTACAGAGATGGAAACGGGTTGAGAGCAATTTTTAGGAATTCGGAAGCGGCGAAGAATTGTTTGACGCGAGCGACGTCTACACGGCGAAGCGTTTGGGAAACAAGCGAAGCCAAAAAGGGGATAAAATAACCGATTCCATGATGTTTCTCTGGAAAAGGGGGGCTCTCTGCAGGACGCGACACGATTACCGTGAACGTCAGCGACCTCAAGGTTTCTTGGGAGACAAAGCGTTCCGTGGAGAAGACGCGACTGGCCGAAGCGAGAGCATGCAAGAAGCCATAGAAGATCAACCTACTTCAAAAGTTGCAACGATTAAAATGTCAAAAGTAGGAGTAGTTGTGTAGGCGGCCGCAAACAACGCTCGATTACCAATCCTCGCAAATAGATTCTTTTTTTTTGTTTTTTTTTTCCTTTCAATATCGAGAAACGGAGGTTATTTCAGCAGTCGAGATGATCAGGTTCGAGACTCGAGAAGAATTTGCACGAACGACGACGGGTAAACGAAGCGACGGAAGATGCGTTCAGAGCCGACATGACGCACGACCTATGTACGTGCAGCGTTGACTGGCTCCGAAGCAACCCTCGAGAAAATTCTATTCAAGTTTTAACGAATTTCCCGATCAGATCCACGAAAAGTAATTAGTGGTTCGTGGCAATCGAATGTTTGGCTTGCTGTCCGCGATGAGTAAGCAACTGAGAGACGATTATTTTAGCAGATAAAACGAAGAGAAATCACAATAGCGTTTACTTACGGCCGACGGTTGTTGTTTCTGAAGGCTTTCGCAATCTGTCGGTCGTATTCGGGAACTTCCGTAACGTACGTGTTGTCAAGCCAGCGTCCGCCATGCGACTAACCTCTGGCTAAGGAGGAAGATAGCTCGTCGAGAAAGTCAACTGTCGGATGAAAAAAATTTCTTTGTATTTTCTTGGACTTTCAGCAATGTTAATGGATAGATTGCCTTTAAAAAGAATGTATTATTAAATTTATTCTTGATTCCTGCGGTAGGAATACATTAGACGGGATTTTAGACACATTTACATGAGTCCACAAAAATTCATTTGTTGCTATATTATTTGGTATTTTCCATACACGATAATTGAAAAAATTCTATAAAAAGAATATTAAACGATTTTTGTTAATCATTGTTTATATAATTGTAGAATTGTAAGGTGTAACAAAGACCTTTGGATGATAGTTTGAGTCATGTAGTACCGACGTTGCTGTAGATTCATTAAGCTGTACAGGGTGTTTCTGAAATTCTTACTCTCGTACACCGGAACAACTTTAAAAATCCATCCGATACACGTGTATTCGCGTTGGAAAAGATGCGGTAATTAATGAACTGATATATTAGATGGCGAGTGTTCAATAAAAGGTGTTCTCTACAGGCCTTCATATTCAATGTTTTGAAAATGGAGGTCTATGGGGAAACATTTTTTTGCATACTTTCGACTTACTTTTACATGGGGAGTCACCTCCCTTCCGGTTCTAAAATTTCGGAAACACCTTGTATATGAAACCGTTTGTGTATTTGAGTTCAATTAGAAACACTAAATACACCTTACAGGTTATTGAAAATTAATCTTATAGAGATACTATTCTTTTTAATATTCCTAAATGGAATTGTGCAGTCGAGTTGTAGAAGTTAATCATTGTCTCTTTATGGTCGCGTTTGGTAATTTCTTCAGCGTCACGTTTAGTATCCCTATCGTTTTATTGCGCATTCAATTCTGCGCAGATCTTCAAAAAAGAAACAGCAATGAGCGAGAAAGGTAGAACAAAAGCAAATGTGTGTAAATTTTCACATGAATGGATGATGCAGCTTCTCTCACTTTATTGTTGGATGAGACATAGCGAAAATATTTTTGTAACGTAATTAATGGTTTGGTAACTATTTGCAAAATGTACTGCACATCAAGAACGAATTTTACGTTTCTAGATCAGCACATGCGTGAAAGTGCCCGATGCTACGAAAGATAAAACGAGACAAATGGTGCTAACATTGTGTTTGCGATTAATTATCTCTATTTCTGTCAATGATGGCAGCACTGTCGCAATCGCGATTCATCAGCCAATCAGAGCAATTATAATCTTCCTCAAACCTCCTTAGTATCGCACTATCTCTCCTAAATTACGAGAAACTGGAGGGACAAGAATATACTTAAAAATATGTTACTCGTCGGTAATATAGACACCTGTCAACAGGCCCGAACAAGAATAAAGAAGCTATTGTCACACGGACGGTAGATTAGACCGTTTAGGCAACTGTCAGTTTCTAAGATTCGATACATAAAAATAGTTCTCTTGGTTTTTAAATGTGAATTAATAAAGCAATTTTTATTTAGGTATTAAAAACACTTATGATAAAACGAAACAGGTTTGTTGTATTTCTACACTGTACTTTCTTTCTTTAGGCTGTTTCGTTTTCGATAATTTGGACTTTTCGTGAAGACCATTTAGATCCGAATACTCAATTCAGCTGCTTATAATCGTGAAATGGTTTTAAGGATTTCCACAAATTGCCATTTAGCGCACTCGTTTTTTATTATCAGCTTGACAATCGCGAAGTTTCGAGTGCTCTTTGCGTGACAATCACGAAAATACATCGATATTTGTACGTCGTTTTTGTCGAGCTACGAAAGTTTGCATTTAGTAATAATATCATTATTGATACGAGATAGAATAGTATAAACGTAGCTTATGACACATACTCTAAGGTACATCGCACTATAAGTCAATACTTCACAAAACAACAGATAATATTGCTGTTTGCCTTTTCTGATGTAATATATTTGAAAACATTGAATTCGAAAATTTACATTGTTTAGAATTTCAATAATTTATTTGTTTTACAAATATTATATGTAATGTACGTGTTTTTAATAATCTTTCCATTTTCATATTTTCGTTTAGATTTTTCAGATTTTTTAACTATTCTGTAAATACTTCTGTTTGTTTATAGAATGGCTCACAGTTCTCAAACATACGGGTCCACAGATCAACGGACAGATGTACCTGATGTGGGATTTAGTCCTACTGAACTTTATAGTCTCAGCGAGAATATTACTACTAACATATATACAATTAACACAAGTTGGAGAACACTGGAACACGCATACAAAAATGTTGGAACCAATAAAGATAATCAGGGTTTAAGAGATAAGGTGTAAGTATTTGATATAGTTGAAATTTTCATAAGCTCCAAAATTTATTTGGATGTTAAAAGAACTCTTAATAGTTCTTTTGTTATTATACTTACTCCAAATTAGTCCATAAGTTTTTGCAGACTAACGACTACACGTTTTTATATTTATTTAATTAATTGTTGTAATTATATATAATTCTTTGTGTATTTTTATATTTTTTTTAGGCACGTAACACAAATAAGCACAAATCAAGTAGTAACTCAAACCAGCAAAGATATTGCAAGACTGACTGTGTTAATGAGAAAGGGCGATAAACAGCAGAAATTGCAAATTGAGAAACTTACCACTGATTTTAAAGATGCTTTGCAAAGATACTCTGATATGCAGAAGGTATATAATGTTCCATTGTTTATTATACAGTTATTGCATATCTTCTCCACTCATTAACCAAAATCATTAAATACTCCATGCTCTGTCTAATACTAATTTTTTCAATAATAGAATTCATGAAGACTTGAAGATTGTTAAACATGAATAGACACAGCTACTGGATTTTTATTAATTTCGGATGACACCGTCCGACAACAATCTTGTTTTTTTTTCAATTTTTAGAGATTTTATTTAAAATAAAGTAAAATGTTCAAGTTTAACACAAAAACTAAAAACTGCAAAGAAAAGTTAAAATTTGTTGGACAGTGTAATTTGGTAGCATAATCAATATGTGTAGAATGAAATGGAAGTTACTTTGGTCAAAAAATGTTTTCAGTCAATTGCGGAAAAAATGAAGAGACATATTTTGCTTACGACTAGTATAGATAGTCCAATGGATCAGGATGATGAGGAACAGCGTCAGCTCCAAGTTCAAGAAGATGGACACCGTGCTACACTAAGGTTCGAAATTGTACTATCCATAAATTGTTTGAATCATGTGAATATATATCAATTTTTCGAAATATTGAGAAAACCTAAATTAATTTTCATAGTTTACACGCAAGTGATCGGTTCATAGATGGCTGTTGTTATTAAAATTTCATTAGGAAAATGTTCAAATAGGATTTTCTAAATAATGATTTTTCAAAACATAAAAAATAATGTGTGGGTAGCATCAGCATCTTAGTTTATATTAAAAATTTCGATGATCTGATTAAATAATTGATACATGTATTCTTAATGTAGAGAAGTTGTAAAATTCGCTTTGAGTCTGTATGGTAAGTCTTTGTTCTATCTACTACAACATCAGATAGAATTTCATACTTTGGATCATTGTGAAATCGATTCACAAATAAAATTGTTTTCTATACAATGCCTATAGGAGTCTTGAGTTTCAACAAGGTTTACTGTTAGAGAGGGAAGAGAGGATAAAATGGATTGAAGGAGACATTTTGGATGTGAGTCAAATTATGCGCGAACTTGCTGCACTAGTGCACCAGCAAGGCGAAACGATCAGTAAGTGCATTCACTTTTATAACAATGTGTATGGTAAATTGGATGTGAATTATAAGACTAAATTAATTCTGTTACGTTACAGATACGGTAGACAGCCAAATAGAAAACATTCATGGAAACGTTGAACTGGGTGCGCAAGAGTTAATCAAGGGAAGTAATTATCAACGTAAATATCGACGAAAAGTTTATATCCTGTTGTTACTCGCGATCATAGTCGTTGTTATATTAATTATTATTCTAGTCACTAAATTAAGTTAGCGCTCCTAATCTTTGTAAATGTCGCGAATGAACGAAAACGGTTGTCTCAATCTACCTTGTACTAATTTCTGTAGAGATAATTACCAAGGAAACGAATAATTTCACCAGTTTGTGTATTAAACACACAACACGGGGAGAGGATAGACTTATTTTGTATTCGTTTGTAAAGCGGTCAATATGTAGTTCGAGCGTAATCTTGTTTACTTTTTAAACTCACGTAATACATTTTATACTGTTCTCCTTACATATCTATCTATCTGTTTATCTATCTATCTGTCTATCTATCTATCAATTTATCTATTTGTCTATCTATTTATTTATCTATCTACCTATCTATCTCTATCTATCTATCTATCTATCTATCTATCTATCTATCTATCTATATCTATCTATCTATCTATCTATCTATCTATCTATCTACCTATCTATATCTATCTGTCTATCATCTATCTACCTATCTATCTATCTGTCTATCATCTATCTACCTATCCATTTATCTATCTATCTATCCACCTATCTATCTGTCTCTATGTGTATATATATATATACACATATACATACATACACATATACATATATAAATATAGTTTCTATGTTTCCTTCTATAATCTGGATTATGG